AGAGTAACAAACACAAAAAAGAAGGAGGGGAGATAGTGATGATAGATTTTTTATAGGAAAAAAGGAGCAAACTACACTAGAGCACCCGCCAACCACCCACTTGTTATATTAAAATGAACATTAAATGCAAAGGAAAGCAAATGAAAGATAGGAAAACAATGGAACTCATAAAGCATACCATCTGAAAGTGCAAAATATGTATATTTCTATACTGTCGACAATATAGTATTTAGAGAAAGTGTGTCCCACAATTATTGTTCCACTATGACTATATGTCGAAATTTTAAACACTGCAATAATTTACAGCAGTATCCAGCACAAGCCAGTAAATTAAGTTCCCTTTCAACCTACCGTTGCTTCTTCTTGTGGGGAAAGAAATGTCCGTGGCTTTGGTACGGCAGCCGTTTTCCCTTCTAACTTGTCCCTTAGGGTTGTTCGAGGTACCCCAAATTCACGGACTGCCTGTCTTACTGCCATTCCACTCTTGACAGCCTCCATGGCATTTTTTACGCGTGTTTGACGGTCACACATGATTGCTGTAAAAAAAAAAAAGAAAATAAATATGTTTAAATCTTATTTGAGTTAGTTTTAGATATAGTAAGAGCTTTACGGCACTTGCAAAACAATATTGTCATCTAAGTCCCGAAGATTAGAGGTGTTACAAGATAGATCGTGTAACAAACACAAAAAGAGGAGGATATCTTCAGTAGGACGATAGATGCTTGATAGGAAAGAAGGAACAAACTTCACCAGAGCACCCACCAACACCCACTATTTGAGTTAGTGCCCTAAAATCAATATTTATGCCCTACATATAAATCTAGATCTAAAGTAGATGTAGGCTAAATATTAACAATGTGTAGATAAACAAGACCCATTAATTTTGGCTATACATTGGCCTGTTTGGCAATATTTCTTTCCTTGAAATAAACTTAGGGAATTCCTAAAATTAGCATAATAATGTGTAATCCCTGAGGAGAGCCCTTAACTTTGGCTTACACGTTGGCTTATTTGTCAATATTTCGTTTCTAGATCTAATCTAGAAATAAAATAAGCAAGGCTGGGCGACGATTCTGGTCTAATTTTTATTGTTTGGTCCACCCGCCCAACCCAATCCATATTGGTTTGCTCTATCCGCCCATCCCGGGCGGGATGGCCAAACCCTTCCCCAAAACATTCCGTGCTGTCCGCCCACCCCTTCAATCTGCCTAACCAGGCAACCACTATCACAGGGATCCCCAGAATGCATGACCCATGCTTTGTCATAGCCCAAAATAACGTTCATTTGCATATTTGGCAGTTCACGCATGCGCTACCTGGTTAGAGCTTGTCACGTGATATTTACAGTTTGAGATAACAAAATGGCGAACTTACCAGGGGTTGAAAGTCGTCTCAGCTCTGGTTCGCAAAATAACGGCAAAATCAGCAGACGATTCAAGGGCTAGAAACCGGACGTAATCAAAGGATTGAAATTATGCATTGTTCAATGAATGCAATCAACGAAACGAAAAATACGGTCATTAATAGTCATTATTTTGAAGCCGGGCGGGTTGTCCGGACGGGCGGATTACCCAGACAGTACTGAAACAGGACTTCAATTTGATCCGTAACAACAGACCACTTATATTTTCTTGTTCGTGTTCCAAAATATGTGTTTGTTTACTGTGTGCGGGGATTAAAGATAGCACAATCTTAAACAAACCTAAGGGATACATCATGGTGCGATGTCGCTTGTTGTGCAAATGTTCGTTGACGTTGACAACCGTAGCAGTGGAACGACGTTGTGGTCGTGCATCTCTGGCGACATTGGGGTAAACAATTCTGCAGCTGGGATAGCCTAAACACTAAAGTCGACCTGCTTCTCGCGAATTTCATCAACATTGCTAACTTATTTTCTTACACTGTCAGAAGGATTTGCGAAAAATGCATGTAGATTCTAGATCTAAGCCTTTGTTTCTGGGTTTCAAGGGTACACACTTTCTTCACTCCATGCATGTTATGAAAACTCAATTGCCAGATAAGCGAAGTGAACATTGGCGGTATCGTTTCACTTAATGCAGAGGAGCCCCAAAAATAGTTTAAGTATTCTTTGTTTCTTATCTGAAGTTGGAAATTGATCCTTATCAAAGATAATAAATAAAACTATCTTTGTCCTTATAAAAAGGAAGTATTATGTGGACATAAAAAGTGTCACAACATTTTGTTGGAACGATTATCAGCTAGTTAGATTTGTTTGACAACCTGGCATAGTCACCATCTTGAAAAATGTCCGCAACTTTCTCTTTCTCGTCACCTTTGACCTACTATAAGGTCGCGGGGTCAGCGATTTCTGGGAAGGCGCACGATACGATGTGATTTGGCTAGGATTTGACGGTAGATTACTGTAAACTCCTTGCGGCAGATGTAGGTTTTCTTTTTGTTTACTGTTGGGGAAAAAAGGTCAAGGGAATAATGTTATATCGTACTCTTCAATAATATCTTACAGCTGAACGTTTTGTAGTTTTTTTACCCCCACAAAATGAATATATATAGATCTAGTTTCTATTGTTCTCAACCTCAATCTCGTTGTCTACTTCCACTTTCGTATACAGTTTGTTTCATCATAGCCTAGATCTAGTATTCATGTGATTTACATGTACTTCTCTTCTTTGTCACTTACTTTTTTTACTTTGTTAAGTACAGTCAGACCCTGCCAGACAACTGAACAACAGCACCCGTGAAATTAGAGGAACCGTTGGCCTGCCCTCGCGAGAGATACGAAAGATACATTATGCACCCTATATATACGTGTACATGTATAGATCTATACAGCCTGATATAATATCAACCTTCAACTGTCTCCGGTAAATTGTAATAATTATTAAAATTAGCATCTATTTTTACTTTAACCTTTTCATCTTCTGTTGCCGTTAAAAAGCGTAGATCTAGATGTGAGATGTAGTTTTTAATGGTAGGCCAACTCTGCAGCTTTTTCCACTGGGATGTTTTAATTTCTCAGGGTTCCCTTGATTCTCTCAATCCATCGTTTGCATGACCTGCAGCTCTTCCTTTATAAAGTTAGTTATTATACTGTAGTTATAGAAGCATCGTTTGCATGACCTGCAGCTCTTCCTTTATAAAGTTAGTTATTATACTGTAGTTATAGAAGCCCGAATACTGAGTATTTGGTTTGCCCTACGGCTGGATCGGGCCGATCGCCCGACTCGGTCGCCTGAAACTGAAAACATACACGTTTGTTTTTGTGGCGATTCGACCGAGTCGGACGATCGGCCGGATCCGCCGACTTCATCCGTAGTGGGCACCCCGTATTAATATTATTATAATTATGCTCTCTATCTAAGGGAAGCGTCCCCCCCCCCACCCGCTTACTAATTTTTAGTCTTTTGGCGCACCCCCTCCCCCCTCGCCCCTTATTCCATACCCCCGTTTATTTTCCAGCTTGCCACGACTGAGGATCATGTGAAACATTATATTTAGAATCTAAATATCTGAATGAAACTTGATTTTTTTTTCAATGGAAAATTACCCGCAGTTAAGCTTCGATTCTGGGTTGGCTACCTCGATTCTCTGTGCATTTTAAAAACTATTGTAACATTGACATATATTTTTAAAAAATGAAACTGGACTATTACTGGTTTGTTCCTATATGGAAAAAGTTGTCGCAGTAACTTACTAAAATCACTAAAATTTCATGATCTCTTGGTCTTTTGTTCACAGAAGGAAAATTAAAACAGATTTGTTCCTACTAGAATCTAGATCAAGTACAGGGGTATGAGGTTGAATGTGCCCCCTCCCCTTTTATTAATTTTGGACCACTTGTCCACCTCCCCCCCTCCCCTCCCTTTATTCGATACCTTCGAGTAGGCTGGTTTAGAAGGTGACGCGTGCTCCTCTGAAATACAAGAAGGACTCTGTGCTAACATATAGGCCTAAGTTGCTCACTTTATTTCTCTGCTTGTCCATGCTCTTCTTCAACTTCTTGTGATATGATAAAGGGTTTTGCGGGGATATTAAATTTTATCTCGCATGCAGTGATTTTACTTTCGTGGGCCCGATGTATTGTATTTGTTGGTTTATAGAAATATTAACGTGATTTTAAGCTGTCTTTTTTGTCCGTAGATCTATATTGAAGAGATAGAAGGCCGGTGCGGGCTGAACAAGTGACAGTGTTGGCTTCTTCAGTTTTAGTTTGTGTTTCTAAAATTTCTCTGTCTGTGTATCAGTTTTCAGAAAAAAATGCCGTCAAAATATTTAAACTCCTTGGCCTCTTTTTGTTGTTTACCGTTGATCGACATAAATATTCAGGGGACCACAGTAGGCTATATATGTTTCGGGTGACTTTCATCAGCTCTGTTTTTGATGAGCTCATTCTTATACATGTATTGGATATCATCCTCATCATCATCATCATCATCATCATCATCATCATCATCATCATCATCATCATC